ACGTGCAAACTTTGGTGTTGAAATTAAAATCCCTGGTTGAGACAGAATCTCGGTTGACTCTGGAGGCGTTATCGCAGAAGCCAACATGCTCACTGTGCAATTACTCTTGAAATGTATTGGAGGATTGAATTGTGTGCGATTGTGGGTGGCATTGCATCGACTCTCTCAGCATAACAAAGATGAGACTAGAAACAGAATTGACTCTGCGCAAACTTATTGAGGTCAATTCGTTCACAAGTGTGAAGACCACAGGTGAAATGGTAAGACAAACGTTCTAGTTCCTTTCATAGAAAGGAGACTCGTCTTCAACATGACAATGCCCAGAATACCACATAAAGCAGAAATGATCTGTCAAAATCTGGAATTACTTTGGTTGGATCAACAGCATCTGCTGCGTCCACTGCATCCACTGCATCCACCTACTTCACCAGATCTCATCCCATCTCATCTCATCTCACTACCACTTTCCAAGTGCATCAAGCAGACCCTAAGAGCAAATGACTTGAAGATGTGACTGAAGTCGAAGAAACTTGAACGAGTTCGGCGATCAAAGAACAGAAAGTTTATTGGAAAAAGTAATCATAACAGTGTGGGAGAAACGAGAAGGAGTTTCAATCGGTGTTCAAAATTACCTCAACTACTGCCATGAGCATAATTTAAAAGTGACTTTCCTTTTAATGCTGTTCCAAATTGCACTGCCTCCTATTATAGAAGAATATTTATTTTAACGATTTTATTGTTCTTCATTTAATTAGTAGTTTGATTTAATTCGTTGTTCAATTATTCCTTTTAGGGACGCCAATTAAACGTTAAACCACTGAAGTGGAAACACATTGAATGAATCCTGGAAACCAACTCTTTTTAGAACCATTGTCGTGATAAATACTCATCTGAGAAGACCCGAGGAAACGCCTTAATTCCAACTGTAAAGCCACTCTAAGGTACTTCAACAGATTATATTTATGTTTATTTTTCCATTTAATCGTGGTAGTTTACATTACACAACCTAAAGACCTATCTGAATTTCAATAAGTATTACTTTCGTTCAGGAAACAGATTACCAATTTCCTTGAAGAATGTTTTTCATTTCTATGGGTTCTTCTAAGCTAGTTCTGGGAGTCTAGCTAGATGTAGGAGAATTTGCCACAGAAATTTCTGAGTCAGTCAGGCTTAACTATTGCAGCAGTACATTACTTTCTGAGAGAAACTGGCAGATATTAAGTTCGAAAAAGTAGTAACCCTTCCAGGTGAGAAATTTGATGAGAAAAAATTGAAACGAACTCAAAATTTGAAGCATTATTCAACCAATCGTCATGAATGTTGATGCATTCGAATCTATGCAAAGTAAGAATAAATTAGTCTAGAAGAAATTGTAAGAAAACCTTCCAATTCAGTTTGATTTTTTTCTAAAAATGAATTTAGAATATAATATTGGGCTTTTACTTACTCCAAGTAACCACAGAATCTGTGATTCAACTAGTTGATAATTTGCTTTGTGATCAGAATGTAATCAAACTTTAAATAACCTGTTTGAGCGGATTAAGAGCAGTTTCCGAAATACTTTAACCAACGACCAATTTGGTTGAAAAGTTAGTATGCTATTACAAATGTTTGAATTTCTTGTGAAATTGAAAGGACCAAGTAGATCATCCAACCATGAGGCGACTGGAGTCTAAAGGTCAATGAAATTGCCTGGTGCAGGGACTTTTGATCTACAAATCGCTTTAAGTACCTTCCTGTCACCGAGAACCACGACGAAATCCAAATGATCCATGGTTTCCAAGCCATTTTTTAATTCTCCAATTTTTCCTTATTTTGAATAAATCAAATTACTTTGCTTTTCGGTGCTCTTTTAAAACAAGTGCCAATTTTTTAGTTTTAGAATGGCTTAGGAAGTAAGGAATCAACATTCTGGAGGGAAACAACCCTCCAGAACAACTGCGCTCACTGGCCCTTAATGAACTTGCTGACACACTTGCTATGAAGGGGACAACGATTTTGCAATGCATGGACCGGACGAAGTCTTTCCACACAATGAAGGCCTTAATCAGGAGAGAATTCAAGACCTCAAGGTACAACGAACTTAAAGCTCGGACAAAGGAGAAACAGTGGACAGTGGCACTTTCTGACATAGCCGACTGGCCAAGAATCGAAGCCGTTGCCAAGTTTAGACTACGCACCGGACACGATTGCTTGGCTAAACACCTTCACAGATTGGGAGTATACACTCAACCCACATACCCTCTATGTAACCTACATGAGGAAATGGAGAAGACCCACCTGATTCGATGTCCAGCTCTAAAGACAACGACGGAAAGCCAGAGATACTGGGAAGCAAGAAGACAGCTAATGAACTGCTATAAATGTACCCCTGTGGGACACGTCATCGTATGCCCGCATGTCTGCTCGCTAGGATTGGGAGGTGCGGCCGTACAACTCTGTGTGCAGCGACCGTACAAACAGTGACCAATCATCAACCTCTGTTTAACCTAATCCCCCATCCTGATCATGAGTAGCTCCCTGCGTGTACACGTTATCCGTCATATACCCACTGGATAAACGTGCTCCGTGCTACACGTCTGTTTCCTTTATAGCTGGGCTATAGCTTAGCTGGTTCTGGGAGTCTAGCTAGATGTTGGAGGATCTGCCATAGAGATTTCTGAGTCAGTCAGGCTTTAATAAAGTAGCAATCCGCTACACCCCCCACCCTTGGGGGAAGCTGAAGTCAAAGTTTATAGGCTAATGATAAATATCACAAAGCCTGCCATTTGAAATAATAATAATAATAATTCTGGAAGGCGGGATCGTGTTGCTTTTTGCGTTATTGAACAAATGAGGTCGCGAATGCAGAGACCTATCAGTCAATCAATAATAATTTCATTGTCAACGTACCCAAAACCTTAAGAATTAACTACGGTCTACATCAGTAGCCCCACAACTACCCGCCATACATTCTGTTTTCTTGTTATTGTTGAAGTAGCTTAAGAAATTTGGTCTAATTCAAGGGTTATTTGTGTAGCATACGCGACTAAACTATTTTCTAATGAAACTGTGTGCCAAAATTGTCCCTTTCTTTGCATACTTCTAACTCTATATTAGTCCTGTGTAAAGTTTACAAATGTAATTTGTGAAACAAACGGGAACAACAGGAAACGATTTGTTGAAAGGATCCAGAATGCAGAAAAAAGAACCCCATCTCCTAAAAGTAAATCGTCGTACAGTTAGTTGATAGTAAAAATAGCAAGCTCGAAGGCGAATATGAAACGAATTGCAAAGCCCAAAAAAGGAAATTGAACAGAATGACGCCCGTCTGAAATTGAACAGAATCCTACGAATTCATTTGGACTAAATCTCGAAAGTTACGCGTTGTCCACCACGCGACTACATATTGATCATTTTCCTAACAATGCAATGTCGGCCAGGCGTATTAAATCCGAAATTCATGTGGGAGTTGGGCGAAGCAGTAACTGATGCTTGTGAAAATGGGCCAGCTTCTTATTTCACGCCATCCTATTCCACTTGCACTCCAGCAGAGGTCGGGACAATGAAGATTAAGTTGCCACTTTGTGTCGCTGGTCCAATGCAAGTTTTGAGGATGCGCGTGGCCGAGGAAATATCTAGGCATGAGATTACATTTATTGAACAAATTGAAGATGCTGATTTTGAGTTAAATGAACAACTCATCGCGGATATTCAATGGGTAGTAATTGAATGTAAGAAATATGAAGAAATGGAAAGGTATTTTCGCCACGCTCCATCCATTTATATTTTCATACTCTTGTGTAATATATTGAAGTTTGCAATGTGCGAACCTATTAAGTTCTCTCTCTTCTTTCTCAACTTCACTTTCCAGCATAACTATTTCAGGAATGGAAACGTAACTCATCTCGATGAGAGAGAGTTGGTTCGCCTTTCACATTTTTATATGAGTGAGAAATGCATAGCATTTTTTTACAAAGTGGAAATGAAAGAAATTCTGGATATCCCCCACATTACATTCAATTATGTTTTTCATGAGTTATTACTTATCTTACGCGATTACATAGAAGGTCGCTTCCAAACGGGAAATGACGTAACCAAAAGAACGTACATTTTGGAAGCTAATAGCAGGCATCCGTATCCAATTTACACAATTCTTACCGCAGTCACTTCCGTACTTGCTACTTTCATGTGTCGATTGCCTAAAGAAGGCCATGGAGAGGAGATGGGAAACCATGAAGGTGGTCCGAGGTCCATGGAAGCAGTCGATGAAACTATCAGAAAATATGAGCATTGTTTGAAAATGATCCTTTTCACTAATAATATCGACCTATTTAATGTTACTAAGAGGCCAGCAATTCCCCAGTTAGTTCTATGGAACCCCGCCCTTAACCAATACTTAGACCAAATCAGGAAATATGAAAAAACGCATGAACGAATGGAAATAATGCGAAAATTGGCCAACCGAGATGGCGATTCCAATGTATGAAACTAAAAAATTGGAACTTTTAGTTTAAGAACTCAATGACTTTTTAAATGGCTTAATATTCTAAATTGGCAATCATTTTTTTCGCTAAAAATGGGTAACAGTAAGGCTATTCAGTCACTGAGGTTAAATGATGTCGTTCTTGGCTAGAACCTGAAAGATTGACCGCTACTCTGCGTGAAAACAACAGACTAGCTTGAATTGTGGTGTGCATGTCTTCATCAATTGAATTGCAAGTGTCTTCATGGGGACTAAGGCTTGAATTTTCGGCAGTTCTTTCTACTACCACTAGACGTGTCTTCTAGACCCCGCGTCGGCTCCTTCTTTTTCATCTGACACATATACTGACCCGGTTTACGTTCAATAATAAACATAGAGTACCATCACAGAGGAATATTAAGTCAAATTTGGTAGATTGACAACCCCAATTAATGCTGCTTAACTTTCGTTTTGGTTACCAATCGATCTCTTAGCATTTAAGTAGGCAGGGAGGAGGCAAATTATACCTGAAGTAAGGGGCAATATCTTATATAGGACAGAGTGTGCATCGGTGATGGTTTTAAATTTTAAAGGGCTGCTCTCCATTTGCATTGTATTTTGAAATATCGTTTGAATGAACAGGTTTGCATCATCTTAGATGTTTTCATGAATTTCTATCCAATTGAAGGGATAATTCGTGATGCCAATACTGCACTTAAAAAGATTATATTTTCCAAAAAATGCAGGTTTCTTTATTTCTCATTTATTTGAAAGAGCCTATTCAGATTTGTTTTTAGCCTACAGATTATAAATCAATAAATTATAATTTTTGTTTTCGTTATTTTTGTTTGATCCTTCTATATTGAGTTTTATTAGATTGAATTCATAAGTAATGTAATTACTTATGTTAAAATTGCGAAGAGTAGATCATACCACCAAAGGATTCGGTTGACGAGCCATATTCAGAGTACAAAACTGACGTTGGACTACTTCAAACAGGATTCAAGCCGAGAGACTGCAAAAGGATAATTTTGGAAAGGTGATAGATGAAAGAATTGGTACGTGGCTATCAGGTATCTAATGACTGGCCTTTATGCTTTATAAAGTCTCCAAAATCATATAGAGAATACATGGACGTAATTAGGCCCGTTGAGTCCAAAGAAGTAACTCGAGCGTTCATTAGAATCATGAAGGGAAATTCTGCGTGAAATGGTGGAAATTAGGGCTTGCCGGTACCACTGAAAATATTATGAATGGCCAGCAAGTTAATTGAAGGAATACTGCCAGTAATGAATCGATCAAAACAAACATAAGCCTATCGAGATAAAGAAATTAGGAAATCACATTAAATCTTCTTTCAAAACCCCAAAACTTCGAAACTGTTAACATATAGCTAATATTTGCATACTCTTAATTATCTACTCCTATTTATATAATTACAATTAGGGTAACACCTTGTAAATAAATAACATGGACCATAAATTTTGCAACATAGATATTCTTAAATCAAACAAAGCATTTCTAATTGATGTGAAAGATGCATTTAATCTCACTTTACTTCGTTTATTCGAAAAAGTGTAAATAAATTTATATTTTAACAATACCGCGTTAAGTATTTAAAACCACTTTAAAATACTTAAAAATTGAAAAATAACACACCTGGCACCTCAATATTCATTATCATTTCTTATATTATTTCCGAAAGTATTTGCCTTATGATAGTGATGAAGGCAGTTAGCCTGACTGGGACTATTTAGCCCATAAGCGTAAAACTCGCAATGGATCAGCAGTCACCCTTGGGCAATCTCACGCCTGCTCAAAGAACACAAATAATGGAGCAAATGAAGGCTGAAGTAGCGATAGCCAGTGCTCGTGATCTCATGGATGTATGTTAATTTATTTTTTTATTTTTTTTGTCATTAGCAATTGACGAACAAATGTTTTGAGAAGTGCATAACAAGGCCTGGTACTTCTCTTGATAACTCAGAGCAGAAATGCCTTTCAAACTGTATGGATCGTTACATGGATTCAATGAACTTTGTCTCTAAAGTTTTCCTTGCTCGTCTGCGACAGGAATCTAGCAGCATCCAAGGTTTCAACTAACCATGCTCAAATATAGCTTTATATGATAAATATGTATAGTCAATGAATAAAGTGCATTGCGCCATTAATATCTCATTGCGTCTGCTTCACTTCTATGGTTGTTTGTGGCAGTCTTTCTTTATAGGATGTTCTGTTGCCATGTTTCTTTTAGTGACACGCTTTCCCGACAGATTTAATTGTGGCATAGTGTCTTTTCCATTTTGTTCGTAAACGTTAATTTCCGTGATATTTTCATTGTTTGGGTGTCTTTTTCATAAATATTGAATTTATTTTCGTGTCTGTATTTCTCCTCCGAAATATTTGAAAATGGAGTAACATTTTGTTTCATCATCATTTATTTTATTGGAATTAGTGGAATATTGTCAGAAAAGTGGTCGTAGCTTTGGATAATTTAGTATTTGGGTTCTATTGAAGGCCAATTAGGACTGCCGTATTGAGTTTTTCCGTCATTCTTTTCTAGTTTGGCCATTATTTCTATTAGCTCCAACGCACTTGATCGATTAAAGTTATAAACTTTGGTTTGTATCTACCAAACCAAATGGAAATAAGTACTTTTCCTATGTATATAACATTTCTTTTTATCACTCCATGTCTTCAGAGGCTGAATTGCGTCATTCTTATCATAGGCTTCTTATATTCACTTAGTAGCAATATTCTATTTACAAGTGGAAATACTCGAGTTTTGTTGGCATAATTAACTTTTATTGACTAAATTGCCTTTTTGTGTCTTCTATTAAATTTATGATTTTCCCTGTTATTAAACTATTCTTAACCATTAATATTGAAGTCATATTTCTATGCAAGTATTCCAAACTGATTCATTTGAGATTATAATATAAATTATTTCTGTTGATAGTCTGAAAGTGCATGTTAGCTTTCAGCTTGCCATTAACAGGATCGTCGTGTTCCACACTTTCCAACAGTACTGTCTCTAAGATAAGTGACTGTTGGTGTGCTTATATCCACTTCGGTGAAAATAGTAATAAAGTAAAATTTTAGGCAAACCACTGTTTTGGGGACTTGGCAAAGTTAGAACTGAACCCTGATACGACTTTAACAAAAAATGTATGTTTCTTTTAATGTAAAATCATATCAGTGTGACTTCTCTGCATCCTTGACAAGCAGATATTAAACTATAACTTTACTTTGAATGCATGCACTTGTTATTATTGATTAAGGATTTCTATATTTAGATATGGGCCAGTTTTGTGGTGCTAACGGCAAACGTCGTAATGCCTGCCTTTTTTGGGGGGGGGGGGGTGGTAGACTTATCTCCACGTGGTGCACCCTGGGCAATGTATACTCATACGGCAAAAAAGTCTATTAACCGGTAGTTGACTTATAGCTACCATCACCCCACTGTATGTCTTATTCCATCATTTCAGCAGATCTCGCCTTACCTTTTACTCAAAACCTTTGTCCCTGTCTGTCTCTTTTACATCTGTGAATCATTATTCTGCCCCCCCCCCCCCCCCCCCCCTCCCTCTCGACTTTTTGTCACTTTGATGTTCTCCCTCCTCTGTGAAGCCTGAAGTCAGCTAGAGGGCTAATGATAACTATTAAATCGCCTGCCATTTGAAATAAATGGATATTGGCCAACGAAAGAGCAGTGAGCGATTTGGATACGTTTAATTAAGAAGGTGTTGTTTATAGTAGATAATGGGCGACGACAAACTGTGTCTGGTCATCAACGTCTTCTCTTTCTGATTGGCCTCTACGTAAGTTCCTTCAAAGAGGCACCTATGTCTAAGCCATTTAACTCTCTTAAGACCATACGGTCCTCTTTCCAAATAAGCTCCATTGGTATTAGACTCGTAACGGAGGTGGCGCCATTGCCGTTTGAAATATGTTCAATACATCTATAGACTTCGCCTGATACCACCAAAACTCATCAAGTCGATATCAGTCTGCTGTGAGACACTCTTGAGTGCGGTTGTGCGCATTTTCACAATCGTCAGATTTACCGATAACAATTGTTATTCGTTATGCCATTCTGTTTGCATAATATAATGAGTTGTAATAGGAAAAGGAGACAATTAGATGTAATGATCACTAACCTTGTAACAATAAAACTTATTTATTTGTATTTAACCGGGCAATAATTCCTTTCTACTTATTGATTTTGTTGCAAAAACTCACTCTAGTAATTGCCAATACAACGTAAGGCTCCTTTATGTTGAATTAGTCTTACAAAGTTAATACTTTTCCCCTTATGGCTTATTTGGGTTATAGTTATCTTATACTCAGAGAACAAAGAATACATTTATTGGCATCAAATGGCAGTCTTTATGATAGTTATCATTCGTCTTTTAGTTAACTTCGGACTTCACAGAGGGAGGGAACATCAAAGTCACGAAAAGTTGAGAGGTGGGAAAAGAAGAGTGATCCATAGATGTTGAAGAGACAGATACAAAGGTAGAGAAAAAGGTACGGTGAGTACTGTGAAAGTGGTAAAACTATCAAGCACCACACACGCATATGCCCAATGTCAACTCATGTTTTGGTGATGAAATTACGAGAGAAAATGAAATTTTTTCATTGTGAAATCGTTTACTAATAAATATGACTTGTGGAATTATCAGATAGGTTTCATATCGAGAGCGGTGTTATCTATCAATTTATGTTCAATTTGGTAACTATGGCAACAGTGTTTACGTCATTAGCATGTTACGCTAAGCATAAGTGATAGTTGATAAATAACGATTTTGCATCGATAGCACCACGATGTAGACTAATCTCAACATAAAATAAATAAGGCTATTATTGAGATTTTGGGGCACCCAACGCTACCAAGACAGACCAAAAAAGGTCATGTAAGATGTAACAATTTGGAGAACTAAGCAGTTCGAGCTGAAACTTCTTAGTCCATCAGTAACCGAATTTATGCAACGCAGAATATCTTTGAATGTATTTAAAAGAAAAGAATGAGCAATTTCGAAATTACCACCCAAAATTATCTAAGGTCAGTTTGGAGACTAGTTGATTCCTTAAAATGCTCAATAACGCTGAAAATTTAGATTTGAAACAATTTTGCGACTAAATGATTCGGGCTTTATCCTTAATTTACAATTGACATGACACAAGCTTGTGGAGCGTACAATGCTGTCACCGCTGAACGAAGAAAACTCATGCGCACTCAGACAGGCTTGAGGGTGCTGTGTGCAGCATGGCATTGTGAGTAAGTGCGGCAGTAAATGTGGAGACCTCCCAGCCAACAGCCAATCAATAATCCTTGATTGGTTTAGCAAACCCTCCATTGTAGTAGTATTATGACTAAGCACCATGTCCATGACACATATTCTAAATCAATGTATTTCACGACATATTTCTATTTCCTCTATAGCTTTGTGGGAGCTTAGATAGTCCTGGGAGCCTTTCCAATCAATGAGGGCGTGCCAAAAAGATTATTGAGTATAAGTCAAGGCATACCAGTATAGCGATTCGCTACATAAATGGTGACTCTAACGTGATCCGCAGAGCTGAGATCCAATCTCTTACTGGCACTGCGCTTCCTTTCCTATCGGACAACACAATTGGTGGTCATTGTCCTCCTCTAACAACTTTCACCATCTCCACCACTCTCTCCCCTTTCGACTTCTCCCATTTCCACATGATGTCTTTGACCCTCCTGGTTATCCCAACTTCCACCCAAAATACCCTCATATCCGGATCCTACAACTTAGAGTTAGCCTTAAGCTAAGTGGTATATCCAAA